AGGACTTCATACGTGTAGATGTGAAGTTAAACTACTGAATGGTACTCATGTTATTATACACGATCAATGTTCACAGCAGTCTGTGTAATGACATGCCCTTGTTGAGGAGGAGGGGGAGTGTCCATGACAGCCTGAGCTCACAGAAAGTGGGTGATTCCGGCTGTTATTTGACCCGGAAGAATGCGCCCATCCAGTGGCTGAGAAGACTTTCAGAGGGCAGCACTTCTGGGTGTGTTGGATTCTCATCTTTAGGGCCGCCCTCTGCTGCTTCTTCCCCAGTACCTACATGTAATTGTGTGTGCGGAGAGCTGCTCCCAACCACAGCAAATGTAAACAAAGAGCGAAGGGCTCTACAATAAGTAAAGCTCACACTTCCTGATTATGCGAGAGCTCTACTTCTCACTCAACAACAATCTTTCCCATAATATTATATGTGCAATGTAACATAGTGTATACATGTTATTTATCTGTAAAAGCATCCCTTGCGTAGACATCCAAAAGGCCCGAGACTGGTGCTGGGTGCCGCCATCTTGGATGTGATGTCAGCAGGCTCAGAGCTGTAAATCAAGTGACACTCTATACAATCAAGTGACACTCAAGTGCAATCTATTTGTTGTGGAACTACAAGTCCCTTGAGGCATTGCAAAACTGACAGCCACAGGCACGACTCGCAGAGGCATGAAGGGTTTAACCTGAGGTTGCCTGCTTTATAGTATTCCCTAAGCTGTAAGCGCTCTCCCCCATATGCAGCCTTCCACTCACCCCTGTCATGTATCCTATTTTATTCTATGAGGAATGCACCAGGAGGAATGAGACTTTGAAGACGTGGAAAGCACAAATCTTGCCACTGATATAGTTATGAAAATGAGCTGGTGGCCCCTCCCCCTCATAATAAAAACCACTTTTGAGTGGAGTGATCCTTTAAAGGTACACTTTTTGTATTCTTGCAGTTGGTTAATAGAAATAAATAATCTTTAAAGCGGTGGGTGTTTCGGAATCATAGCCAGATATCCGCTCTGTCATAGGATGCACATGCCTGGACTCCCATGTTGCTGCCTGAAGAAACATGTGAGCCCAGCAGGGGAGAGACTGAAGTCTTGCCTGAACCCCCATTCCTCCAGACCTAGACCCCCCAAACAAGTCTGCTCCCTCCCCCCTGATCCTGAACCCAAACTTTCATTTTTACCTGAATTTACCGCCAACGGCGCCTCCATCTTAACGCCAAACCTCCCAACCGGAACCTGCCGGCTCTACCAAGGGCTGTCCTCGGAGATGCCTGAAAAATATTCAGGGATAAATCGATGTTAAAACATAAGCAAACCGGCTTCCTCCGCCTAATTCTGCCGCTAAAATACCGAGGCCAATGAGTAAACCAAACTATTTCTCACCGCTGGATGTGTACATAATCTACTATTGGGCGTCAAGGTGACAGGACCTCCACGGCTGTTCACGCAAACGCCCGCGCAGACATAAAAAACAACGCGCTATCAAAACGCTGTTTTGCGATTATGGTTGCATTTTAGTGCATGCAAGATTCTATTCTAGAAAATAAAGATATCTTTTTTTTAATCACTTTTGAATATTTCTTAATTAACTGCTGTGACAGTGTCGAGAGCGTTTATGGGAAATGTAGTTCCGTCTGCGCTTGATGCGGTAGGCGCAAGTCGCCTGTGGACTGCACCTCCCATCATCCACTGCAGGAAGCCCCGTTTTTGATAAATTGGAACTGACGTGCGCTTGATAACATCACAACTGTCAGTTAAATGAAAGTTCTGAATGATTTGCATAATTTCTGCTCGTTTAGAAAAGGGTTCGTTAAGAACAGTTAAAGTAATTGGAATGCCCCGCGCAAAGCACCTCGGGATTGTAGTCCGAAGCATGTAGATCGGCCCCTAGTTAGACAGGAGGCTGGACTACGTTTCCCATCATGCTCTGTCAGTCATGCTAAGGCCTCGTTCTCCTACCTGGCGTCTCGCGCCTGCGCACTTCACGCCCCCTCAGCTGCCAGAACAGAGTATCTTACCCCCCTCCTCCAATGTAAGATGGTGGTGGCCGTCTGGTGGTGAAGAATCCCCCAGCACAAGAGCAGACGAGCCCCGCGGATTTCATAGTGTCATAACGTGCCCCTAGTCGGAGCAGACGGGAGTCTTATCCGCCCCCCCAACACACAGTGCCAGAGAGGAGGAGGAGCCGCCGGTCCGCCCCCTGCCGCGCGCCATTACCAGCCCAACACTGGAGAGAGAGCAGCGCGAGGGTAAGCGGGGAGGAGGGGGGCGGCTGTCACTGGGACCACCAGGCCGAAGGGGGGGTCTGCCCGGATCACGTGCGGCCTCCAGTCTACAAACAGGGCCTCTAACACTTACACACAGCAATAGGGAGCCCTGCAGGCCTCACCCTTATCCCGCTTAGCCTCCAGTGTCTACACTGGCCTCACCCATCTCATGTACTGCCCACGGGCCTCTTAAAATCTTAATTCAGGCCTTGCCTGTCATTTGCAGCCCTCGGGTCTCTCTCACCTCTGACATGAGTAGCCTTATCCTGATTATAAGCAGCCACTAGTGTTCCCACTGGCCTCACCCTGATCATGGGCAGCCTTCAGTCTCCCTGCAGACCTGACCCTCCTCACCCTAATCATGGGCAGCCTTCAGTCTCCCTGCAGACCTGACCCTTGTCACCCTAATCATGGGCAGCCTTCAGTCTCCCTGCAGACCTGACCCTCCTCACCCTAATCATGGGCAGCCTTCAGTCTCCCTGCAGACCTGACCCTCCTCACCCTAATCATGGGCAGCCTTCAGTCTCCCTGCAGACCTGACCCTCCTCACCTTAATCATGGGCAGCCTTCAGTCTCCCTGCAGACCTGACCCTCCTCACCCTAATCATGGGCAGCCTTCAGTCTCCCTGCAGACCTGACCCTCCTCACCCTAATCATGGGCAGCCTTCAGTCTCCCTGCAGACCTGACCCTCCTCACCTTAATCATGGGCAGCCTTCAGTCTCCCCGCAGACCTGACCCTCCTCACCCTAATCATGGGCAGCCTTCAGTCCCCCTGCAGACCTGACCCTCCTCACCCTAATCATGGGCAGCCTTCAGTCTCCCTGCAGACCTGACCCTCCCCACCCTAATCATGGGCAGCGTTCAGTCTCCCGCAGACCTGACCCTCCCCACCCTAATCATGGGCAGCCTTCAGTCTCCCTGCAGACCTGACCCTCCTCACCTTAATCATGGGCAGCCTTCAGTCTCACTGCAGACCTGACCCTCCTCACCCTAATCATGAGCAGCCTTCAGTTTCCCTGCAGACCTGACCCTCCTCACCCTAATCATGAGCAGCGTTCAGTCTCCCCGCAGACCTGACCCTCCTCACCCTAATCATGGGCAGCCTTCAGTCTCCATGCAGACCTGACCCTTGTCACCCTGATCTTGGGCAGCCTTCAGTCCGCCTGCAGACCTGACCCTTGTCACCCTGATCATGGGCAGCCTTCAGTCTTCCCGAAGACCTAACCCCTTTCACCCTAATCATGGGCAGCCTTCAGTCTCCCCGCAGACCTTACCCTCGTCACCCTAATCATGGGCAGCCTTCAGTCTCCCCGCAGACCTTACCCTCGTCACCCTAATCATGGGCAGCCTTCAGTCTCCCCGCAGACCTTACCCTCGTCACCCTAATCATGGGCAGCCTTCAGTCTCACTGCAGACCTTACCCCCTTCACCCTGATCATGGGCAGCCTTCAGTCAGCCCACAGACCTCACTATGATCATGGGCAGCCTCCAGTCTCCCCTTAGACCTTACTCCGATTGTGGGCAACCTCCACTGCTTCCCACAAGCCTCTATCTCTTCTGACATGTGTAGCCTCAGGTCTCCCTTCAGGCCTCTGTCTGTTCATGTGCAGCATGCAATATTTCCTGAGATCTCACCAGGCTCCAGTGACCCCCCCACATCCTCTGCACCCCCACACAGCTCTTTCCTCAGTTTGCACACAGGTCTCTCTCTCCCTCTCCTTTAGCACGCACAGCCATGGAGATCCCCTACAGGGGTTTCCTGTCCATATACGCAGCCCCTAGGTCTCTAAAGCTGATTCTGATTGGTTGTTATAAGTAGTGCTTTATTGCTTATTATACACATTACAATCTGACTGTACCATCTCCTATAGATTTACCAAAAGTGTGTACTAATAGGGGGCGACCCAAACTCTCCATTCAGTTCTGTTCACAGTCTGGCAGGCCCTGGAACTGTTGGTAGATGTAAAGGAGATTTTACGGTCAGATTGTACTGGGAGGGGTGAGCTTTAGTCTCCCTGCAGACATCACCCTGATTATGTGTAGACTTGGTTGAAAAAAAATAGAGCATCAGTTGAAAAGTGTGGTATCCATAGCAACCAGTATTCAAGCTTTTAGGGGTCTGACTTTGTCAAATGTATTTCTGATTTGCTATGACTTGCTGCACTGTGCCTTGCTTGGACCTTGCAGACCTAATACCGATAATACAATGCTTCCCGTTCTGATCTTGCCTGCTCATTCTGCGCATAGACCTCATCCATCTGTAACATATATTGAGTGCCCCAAAGCCTCTACCCTGAAGAAACGTGGCCTCCAGACCTCACCTTTCCCTTTACACAGTCTTGGGTCTCTGCTGGCCTCACTTCTGTCTGTATGCTCACCCTGCTCGTTCATAGCTTCCAAGTGTCATCTCTCCATCACAGCCTCCAGTTCCCACAAACCTTGCCCTTCCCTTAGAAAGTAGAAGAAAGGTATGGGGGGCGCTGGGTCTCCTAAAGCACTAGGTGTTCTCAGTTAGGTCTTGAGCAGTGTAGAAGGAATTATTCTACTTCAGCAGCTCTCTCAGAAGTGTTGGCTTAAGGTTTGCTCTTTGCTTAAGTAGTGACGGGATGTATAAGAGGAGAAGCATTAAAAGAAGAGCGGATATAGTCCAGATTTATTTTAATTCAGTCTGTTATCACAAAAAGCCAATGGGCTTTAAGGGGTTCAAATGGCCCCTCATTATCTGGGCTTGGTACTGTTAAGAATGATCACTCCAGATACCGGTTGCTTAACCAGCCTCTGGAGTGATCATTCAAATCTTTAGGATTCCTCCAGTTTTTTCATTCCAATACACATTTTGTTTAACAATACTAAGCCCTGATGAAGGGCTCTTCTGCCCCCCCTCCCCGAAACACTTTGGCTTTTCATGATACAAGTCTGAATAAAATGAATTCTGGAATTTAAAGGCCTGCCTCACCTTTCCACTATGTGGGTCTTTTTATTTGTTGTCTTTGTCTCATTGGAGAGTCTTCCCTTTGCTACCTGTCCTGGAAACACAACAGAAAGTGAGCTGTAATCTCCAAAGTGAGGTTTTTGCCGTAATAGGTGTCCCCATTGGAAGATGTTCCCTTAAATCCTGTCCCAGTGAAAGCTGTAAACTTTGGATTTCTCATGGCAGTAATTGCAAGTACATATGGATAGTGTGATTTCTCCCCATTCAGGACATAGAAAAATAAAATCTGACAGTGGTTCTAACCCTTCCCTACTCTATCCAAAACTAAAAATGAAGAAAGTCTTATGTAATGCTTCCAGCTAGGGTGCAATCTAGGGATGCACTGATACTAGTATCGGTATGGATGCCAAGTATTTGGGCGAGTACTCGTACTTGCCCAAATGCTCAGATACTTCCGGTATCAGGAAGCCGGGCAGCGCTTCACTACACTTTGCCCGGCTTCCTGAGTGGCCAGGAAGCCAGCTCCATGCTCTTTCGTCACTTCTGACGAGAGAGCATGGAGCCGGCTTCCCGGGCAGCGTGTAGTGACGCGCCGCCTGGCTTCCTGCTTGGTCGGAAGCTGGCCAATCAGGAAGCCGTGTAGTGACGAGGAGGCATGTGAACGGCTACCCAGCTAATCAGGTGGCAAGTCATCACATGCCGCCTGGCTTCATGAATGGGCCTTCCGGTACTCGGTATCGGCGAGTACCAGAAAAAAAATATCGGTACTCAGTACCGGTAGTGGTGCATCCCTAGTGCAAGCTGCACCTATCTCATACTGAAGTCTCACTTTAAGATGTATCTTTCTGCCTTTAGTGGTGGCACAGTGGTGGTCAGTCCTTCTTTGCATCTCTGTGGTCACTATCTAGGAGGAGGGGGACCTATTCTTCCATTTGTATGGCTTTATACTGAATGCAGCAGATTCATCAATCAGTTTCCCCATCTATAGTTTTTATTCTTGCACACAGCCACAAGTCCTCGTTGTAACTCTCTCTTTGTCCAGCCTGCAGACTTATCGAACCCTCACGCTCGATCCTGTATGTGGCTTCAACTTGTGTTACAAGTATCAGGCTTGTCTCGTATATATCGATTCCAGTAATAATTTGGCCTCCACTATTAGGATTGGAGGAATTGGAAGCCTTTGTTACCAATCACAACAAATTAGATCATTTTAATACCCATCATTGAGAAAATGTCAGCCAGAATGTAATGTTTATAATAACTAGGGCTGCAACCAACTAATCGATTATGAGAATAGTTGTCAACTATTCTCATTATCCAGAGAGAGTTTGATTTTAATAAAAAATAATCAGGCAACTAATCAATTTATGGAAATAATCGTTAGCTGCAGACCTAAACACTTCATTTGTTCAATAGGAATATATTCCCCACTATTTGTTGCTGCCCTTTAGTAACGCTCAAAATCCTGACTGTCACTCTAACGCACAGCGTACAGTAACTACAAATAGTTCTGTCCAGGACCCCTGGCTCCATGAATGAGAATATAATCAGCTCCTGAGTTTGGGAGGAGACAAATGTACAAGGCTGTCCCAAAATGGCAAAGTGGGCTCTGTGGGATGACTTCTTAACACTGAGAGGTGACAGAGCGGGCACGGACTATGACACATGCTAACTGCTCTTATATTTAACATGGCTCGTGTGTGTACAATTTACAAGTGTCTGTTCCGCTCTTGTCAGATGCTATTTGCTGCATCATCGGTTCTTGTCTCCGCGTTCATTTCTCTATCTCATTCTGTTTCACTGATAGCAGTGAAAGCTTGGCTTGTTATAGTTCTTTTACATTAATAAGTTATTGCTGTCTGTTTTCTTGAATGCAGAGTCTTCCTACAATAGCCATCATCTTCTGAAGTGTCTTCTCACCAGTCTCCACGTGTTGATATTTCTGTGCAGGGTGGTCCATTCGTATTATGGAGTATGTAATCTGAACATACTAGACTTTGACAGACTTCAATTTTTTTCTGTTTTTAGTGTTTGCTGTCGTGTTGAGGA